ACCTGAAGTTATGTTTGATTGCTCTTCGGCTGGATATCAACACACCAATTAACGATTAACATAAACTACGCAAGAGCGCGTACACACCTCATGCACCGGATGCCAAGCGCGCACTCAAAGACAGTTGGACATAGTGGTGTATTAGAGGTAAAAAATTATATAAATACTCTTCGGTTTCTGGCACAAACCGATCGTTTCGTGTCTTGGGACATCAATGTGTCGTCACGAGCCGCAGGGTTTAATTTGGATTTGTCTGTGCATGTTTTTTTTTACTCTCATAGATTTTGTTACCATTGCCATGCATTATATGACTGATAGACTGCAACTGTTAGACTTAAAAATCATAATTTGTGTTCTACTGAAGAAACAAAGTCACCTACATCTTGGATGCCCTGGGGGTAAGCAGATAAACATCAAATTTTCATTTTTGGGTGAACTATACCTAACTTTCATTCAGCTTCAGGGCTCTGTCATTCTGTTGCTGACTGCATGATGAATGTGCATCAGTGAGGTTCAGAGTTGAGAAGTGAGAATGTTGGTGCTGATGTGGGAACACTGATGCTGGTCCTGGAACATGGAGGTGTCATCCACACACCGCCTCAGATGAGAGCAGAGGTGTGATGCTTGTGTGGACGTGAGAATGACTGGGTCACTGGAATGAACATCGCTGGACACTCTGACCCTGAGAAAAGGTCAGCTGTACCATGAGATATTTAATAGCATTGTTTTAAAAAATGCTAAGGCTAGTTTTACTTTGAGTTTTCTGAATTTTGGCATTTATGTTGATTCAGTTAAACAGACCCATTCAAATTTGTTTAAGAGTGAAAAGCTAATTTACCTAATTTTATTCACAGGATGTTGATAACATTTGTTAAACATTGCACTTTTTCACTTCACTAGTCAGATGACAGGAGACATGCATCAGTAGGTAAGGAAACAGCTCTAGTTCATTCGTCGGGGTCAAGAGTCAATAGGGCTATTTAACTTATGGGCAACTAAACTAATCTGAAATGCTTATAGTTGCACTAAAAATTTAGTTTTACTGTAATAAAAAGGTTTTAATTGACAATGCATCTGAAGAATCTTCTGTAATAATAATGCTATTGGCTCTTGTCTGGTTTACAATGAGGAATGTTGGCCCTTTAGAGGGCCGGTGAGGGTCTGTAGCTTTAAGAAAAGCAATCAACACAGATTGCTTAAGCACTGTATTTAATGCAATAGTTTAAGGTTTGTTTGAAACTGACAGTGTTGTGAACACTGAAGTAATACTGCATCAGTCAAGCAACTATTTAAATATAAAAAGGCAATTGAAATATTTAAAAAAAGAAGACATTCTTTGATTTATATAATTTTGTACATTCAAGTAATTTGTTTTTCATTTATTTTGTTACTTTTATGTATAAAGAATACAAAATGTAAAAGGAAGACATACAAATGCACACATTTCCTCATAGTTTAAAATAAGTTTCACCATTATTCAATTCACACAAGTGAATTTATTATTTACAAAGACAAGTGAAATATTTCAAAAGGAGGCATTGCAAAAGCAGTGTGCTATTTAATAAATCTGAGATGTGAGAAATCAGTTAACATTTAAATAAGCCATGGAATTTCCTCTGAAATAATCCATTACGTGTATTTTGGAATTTACCAGTGCTGTGATCGAAATGATTAAGTCAATCTCGGCTTGAGGGAAAGGTTATGTGCCGGTCACTGCATTATTAAAATATTTTTTAAACATGTAACTTCATCAGACCAATACTTTTTAACCCAGTTTGTTTGCGAGCTAGACGCTAACTTTGAAATAAACTGTTTAAACGGACCCTTTAGTGTCACGTATTAGTCACATATCAATTCATATCTTTCATAAAAAAGAAAGACAAAAGAAACGTATTTGACTCTGCAGTACTTAATTACAAGAACAAGACAAAACAACAAATCAGAGATCTTCACTTTTGTTGAATTCTTGGGGAGAGCTGATATACACTGCGTGCTCTAACTAATCCAATTCTTGTTATTTTAAATTAAAGATTCGTGTTGACTTGCTTAAAAAACACACACGCTGGTCAGGCTTGGGGAGCAGTGGGCTGGTGATTACTGACATTCCTGACCATGGGGGAGAAGATTTTTTAAGAGCGTTAGTGGCAGGGGGTTTCCAAGACTCTGAGATCAGCAAATGTTAAAACAGACTGGGACTAGACAGACCCCCATAAGCCAGAACACTCCCAAATGAACAGAATAAACAACATACCTATCTCTTATTGCCACCCTCACTGTCTGCTGCTCTGTGCTTTAGTTTCTTAGGATCTATCTATCTATCTATATGCTTTGATCCTTTAAATTACTTTAATTGCTGTAATCTGTGGCCTCAGTCATTCTTGAGAAGTGGGACAAAACAGGGTGCAAAATTGAAAAAATAAAACCTTGTACTCAGACAAACGAAACTACATTTATGTATCTTATATGTACTGAGCTATGCTTTGATACAACCTCCCAACTTTTCTCTTTTTTTAACAAAATGTGCTTTTTTTACCTGGGACTGTGTAATATAATTTCAACTTTATCTTTAACGGCATTCAAGATGTTTTTAACATTTCAAAACACATTCTGGTGTTAGCAGACAGATTACACTTTCACATGTGACCAACAATTCCACAACAAATATCAAATATCATAATGAAATATTATCAAAATATTCAACTGACGGAGGTGACACATCTGACGGTGGTGATGAAAACCTGAATTTGTAGTAATTTTAACTAGCAAATACATTGAATCAGTCAATTACTGTATTAAAACAAACACAACAAACAGTGAGTATGTTATTGTTTATAAAGCTTTTATTCAAGAGGCACATTGAAGTATTTTGATATATGATTGGAACACAAAATCTTATGGTGGTGACATCTGACGGTGTTGACAAATTTGGCATTTCTTTCATAAAACCACTGGAGTTCATGTAGTAGCCATTTGATTTGTTTCTGTTGATGCTAGATGCTAAAATTATCTAAATATTTCAAATAATTTCCTCAGAAATTGGAAGATGGTGTTGACATATCATGGCTGTGACACAGGAAATATTAACATTAGGATTTAAAATATTCTAAAACTAAAACTTAGCAGAGCCTGTCTGACACTGATGTACTCTGCAGAGGTGAACTGTGGCAAGGGGGTCCTTTAGAGTGACCGCTGATATTCCCTGATTTTATTACATTTTATTGAATGTCTGACGGTGTTGACAAAAAGTGGGGACGCAACTTTAAAATCTTATGAAACATGCATGTGTCATTAAAAAAACAACCTTGCTTTGATAGGAGATATTATTAAGTGTTCCTTTTGATAAAACAAGCTCTTTTTCATCATTAAAAAAACATTTTTATCCATTTTATTGCATATGAATGATTGAACCCTTCTCTGTGGACACACTGTTTTAGATGTAGCGAGAGGACATTAAGAAACACCGATTTGGTATAATAATGAGAAAATTAAATTGAAGGTGATAATTGTGTTAAATGCGTTCTATTATTAATCCCTCATGACATTTAAAATTGAAAATATGTGTATTTTTTAAAGCTAATAGCAGTTAAGCCTTGCTGGACCTGTTTTGTCCCACAAGAATGACTGGCCTATTAGACTCGTTTAATTTACATAGGCCTATCTCGGTGACTTTGAGGAAATTCACTTTTTAACTGCAAATGAACTGCAAGTTTGTCCGTCACATCGTTTTCTAATTCGATTAAAGTGAACGAAAACACAACCGTTAATTAATTCGTTGCATTGTCTGTTATCTCAACTGTATGTTTAAGCAATTGCTCACCGCTATCTTGAGTTGTCCATCTGTGCCTTTTGTCTGACGCGGGTCAGTTTGCTGGCCCTATAGGAGGTCGGAGTGACGCAGTCTCGCAAATTTGCTCCTCCAAATGGAGCGTCGAAGTCCATCAAGCCCCCATTAGGACCTCATTAAATTCGCTTAGTGAGATATTTTGCACCCTTCAACGGGCTGAAGTGTGAACGCGTGCTTTTAGACAAACAACTCGAACTGACCGCGGGTCGGCTTTAGTTCTTCAGCTCTTGGTGACTCCTGCAAGTGTTTAAGTTAACAGCTGTTTTCAGATCAGTTTTTGAAGGCAATAATTAAAGGAGCCACAGACAGCAGAGACGGCTCATCAGAAAATCTAAATAAAAGTAGGGGTATATACAAGCTGTTTACACTGTTTTATACAAGCTTAAGCTAAAGAATAAAATGCCTATAGGTCTGTGTTGGGTAGTTATGCCTTTAAAAGAAGAGGGTTTACAATTAGCCCCTGCTAGCCTACTACATGGTGTTATTAGCCTATATTATAGCCTAGCCTAAAAAAAGAGTTTAGAATTGAGAGAATAAAGAATTTCTACAAACGTTCTGTTTTGCACTGTCGGTTGCTGTACAAAATCAAAAACGGGTAAAAGTACTACAAATCAATCAAATTACGTCAGTAGTGTTTTTATTTATTCGTTTTATTTACATTATTTCATAATTTTAACAAGAACACAGGAGAAAGAACTTAAAATCTAAAATAAATTAAATAATATATAGGCTAAGCCTACAGAGGATTAATAAGAACGTTGTATAGATAAGTAAGCATATAGGGCACACGTTTTGGGTTTTTATGTATGGTTTGATCACGCCTGCGTAGTCCTAAACCTTATAACTAACTAACTAGCCTAGCCTATATTATATATGGCTCCACTCCTGTGTCGCCCCCCGTCGTCTTTCTCGCAGATGGTGTGTAAGTTTGCCCCTCCGTGTTGTTGCAATAACCTCACGGTACCAGATTTCTCACCCTCACGCTGGGGCGCACTGTTTATACAACTGGACAGGTCTTCACAACAAAATGTCCATAGCAGTCTCTATCCCAATGATTTGGCAAACAGCACCAAACCCCCTCTTAATAAAACAACCTCGGATCATTTGGCATCGGCACCATCGTCCAGCCCCGCCCCTGCAGCTCCAGCTCCAGCTCCAGCTCCATAAAAACCCCGAGAGCGACTCTTCTTCATTCATTCTCTTCCCTGCGGAGGATAACGACTCATCCAAGACGTCCATCTCTCAGAGATCTTCCAAAAACAGGACTATTTGGGAATTATCGCCCAGCAAACAAGTGAAAAAGAAATGAATTCTGTGTGCATTGCAGCTCCTGTTTCCAATACAATGAACACTGACATCCAGCAGTCTAGCAGGTGAGCATTCTATTCTATTCTATTCTATTCTATTCTATTCTATTCTTTATTTTGAGGTTACCTGTTAGATGCACATCTAAAATATTACTCTCATTCGATCCACAGCCCAGCTTGCCTGTGGAGACCGTGGCTCATGACAAGAAAGGATGCACAAACTGAATGCCGGAGAACCAAGTTGGCCTGTGTAAGTTTTTTTCCACCACTGCAATTCTAATATTTCAATAGAATGTCCATCTGTAGGCTATAGGAATGTTATTAAGCTCAGAAAACACATGGCACTGTTGCGCTGCGGGTTAATTCAACTTTACAGCACAGAAGATTTCAACAGTTTTTTTAGAGCAGCAGGTAGCTTTTAGGTGACAGACAGGCATGTGGTGAGCATTAGGCTGCAGATTGTGTGACTGTGGAGGTGTTTCATTGACACCAAGCCATTCAGTGACGCAAAGGCAAACTGAGCAGCTCTAGCGCTGAGACACTTAGCCATATGGCACCACTGTCTGAGCGTGAACACTGAGTCTGTGCCCAGAGACGAGGTGTAGGGGAAAACAGCTTCCAGAGAGCAAGCGATCGCTTGCCAAGATTTAAGCAGACACCTCTAGGTTTGGGAAAGGGCGTTGGAGCCAGGTTCCCACAAACACTTTAGCCTGACACCCTCCATGTCACAGCTTTTGCATCCTGCCCAGGGTGTTTTACACCCACGAAGCTGGCAGTGATATCACCTCATAAACACTGGACAGGAAGCATTGTTTGAGCTGTATTTCGTGCATGTGGTCTTACACGTCTTTTCTCACTCTTTCCAGCCTTACTCCAGGCCAGAAATGCCCAGTAACACTACAACAGATGGCAAAATGCAGTCCTTCCAGCACCCTGTCAGGTCAGTGAGCATTTAATTTTGCTTGAGCAATGGTTTTGTTTTATAACATGCTTTTATTTAGGCTCTAAAACCCAAATAAGGCTTATTTTACCATGCTAAAAAGTGCATTTCCGTGCTCTGTTTGCGTAGTTTGTATTTACCCATTTATTTCTTCATACTTTAGGCTGTATTGGCCCAGATCGAAATCCTACGACTATCTCTTCAGCGATGGCGAGGCCCTGCTCAGAAATTTCCCAGCGCAGGCCACCATAAACTTCTACGATGAGTCAGACAGCGAGGAAGACGAGGACAGCTGTGATGAAGATGACGACAGCGACGCTGAGGAGTGTCTTAAACTTAACAGTCACTTCACCAGTTACAACTGAATGTTCATCCTCACCCGTCTTTGCAACAGTGACTTTACGCTGAGGAAAAGATCATAAATTTAACATCAACACTGGATAATGCCACATCGCGCTCTATTAGAGAAGGCGTGCCATCAATTCACTTTCTTAAAGTGTACTTAAGTGTGTTAAGAAATATAGGGTTATACTTTAAGGTGTCCTTGTTACAGTGTAATTATACATTTAAGTACTGAGTAATATTAATTAACTACTTACTATGGGTTTAGGGTTAGGATTAGGGCTTGGCTTAGCATGTAATTATGCATAATGTTTTGTTATTATAATAGTAATTACTTGTAACATGTGTAACAAGGACATCTTAAAATAAACCGTTACTAAATATACTAATGAAAGTGTCCTCTTTTTAAGTACACTTGTGACCTTTTATTTAATTAATTTAATATTATCTGCAAAAACTGTTTTTTTCTTCTTCTTAAATATACTTTTACAATTTCATGTACACAAGTGTGCATTTAATACGCTTATGTGCACTTATTTTTTACAAGGGAAAGTGACTTTAAAACTGAAAAACACATTACAGCATAACAGGAGTTACATCAGGGGTTTTCAACAGGGGGTCTGTGACCCCTAGAGGGACTATGGTGGTACTGCAGGGTGTCTATGGCTTATTGTTTGACCTCAAACTAATTTTGTGGGGAAAAAATGTAAATAAAAATAAATAAATAAAATAACAATGACAGAGAAATTAGCTTCAGTACGCAATTTGCTATGTCTAATTTATTCAACATGTTTTATTTACTAGAAATTTCTGTTAAAGTAGGCCAGTATTAAGACATTTAGGATGGTACAGCTTAATTTGGTTGTTACATTTAAAAAGGTCGTTTTGCAACCTTGTGGCTTACTGATATTTCAAAAATCACACCGTTCCATCACGAGCGGCAAGGCAGAGTTAAAAAGGAGCGGTTCAGCATTGTGGGTAATGCTGTCTTTTAACTCAAGGCGTGGCATCGAGAGAGACCCCTGACTCTATGCTGACTCTATCATCCTCTTTCTCAAATTAAAATGTCACTTGATGGCACTCCGCGTCCATAGCGATACGAATAAAACATTCATGTCTGGGCATAAACATGCAAGGGTTTCTAGAAAAAGTGTCGGAGAAGCGTATACGTGTGCAGACTGAGACTACACAACCCAGTTTATTTTTCCCCATTCCCCTAGAAGTATGACTTTGCGTGTACGAAATCAACAGTCAAATTTCATTGGACAATCAGGGGGAATCCGTGGCTCCTATTGGTCCATCCGCATGTCAATCAAACGGCATCCGTGACTCATGTGGGTGCTCCCTAGCTGGAAACAGGGATGGAATGGACTAGCAATTGCAACAGCCCGGAAGGTAGGCTTTATTATTATATTCCATCTTCCTCTGAATTACAAATGTATTCATTGTTTTGTTTTGTTTCATGGCAACTAAAAATTTCGCTGCCTTTATAAATATACATCTTTAATCCCACTGAGAGCCCCTCTAAGGACTCCTGTCAGCTGCTATAGTCAAACTGAATTAGTCTCTTATTAATATTTTATTCGCTTTTAAGAAAGCTATTTGCTTTTAAGAATGGCAGTAGGTAATGTAACTACATTAAATAGCTTTGTCAATATTTTCTAAAAACACTTGCACTTAGAAGAAAATCTATTTTGTATCTAGAATTTCAAGTATGCTTTGTATGTGGTTCGAAGCGGTTTTTAGACATTACTAAACGTGAAATTGCGTTGGAGTGGCATCTTTCGTGTGCGATGAAGCGATAGTAACTCGCGAATTAAATTAATTCGTTAAGGAGTGAGCTCGAGTGATATAAATTTAGCTCGCGCATCTCTCTTATCTACCCTCTCCGTTACTATGGGAACCTCGTCCCCCGCCCCTCCGCCCTCCCCCATCAGCATTATCTTAGAAGGGCAAGAGATTATATAGATTTATATAGTAAAGATATCAGCTTCGTGACAGCAGTTTTTTTCTATTTGTTATATTTTAGAATATGCCAATTAGAATATTTACCAGAATATTTAGTATGTCAATGGCCTGGAGTTCATATCTTATTTCAAAAATCACACCGTTCCATCACGAGCGGCAAGGCAGAGTTAAAAAGGAGCGGTTCAGCATTGTGGGTAATGCTGTCTTTTAACTCAAGGCGTGGCATCGAGAGAGACCCCTGACTCTATGCTGACTCTATCATCCTCTTTCTCAAATTAAAATGTCACTTGATGGCACTCCGCGTCCATAGCGATACGAATAAAACATTCATGTCTGGGCATAAACATGCAAGGGTTTCTAGAAAAAGTGTCGGAGAAGCGTATACGTGTGCAGACTGAGACTACACAACCCAGTTTATTTTTCCCCATTCCCCAAGAAGTATGACTTTGCGTGTACGAAATCAACAGTCAAATTTCATTGGACAATCAGGGGGAATCCGTGGCTCCTATTGGTTCATCCGCATGTCAATCAAACGGCATCCGTGACTCATGTGGGTGCTCCCTAGCTGGAAACAGGGATGGAATGGACTAGCAATTGCAACAGCCCGGAAGGTAGGCTTTATTATTATATTCCATCTTCCTCTGAATTACAAATGTATTCATTGTTTTGTTTTGTTTCATGGCAACTAAAAATTTCGCTGCCTTTATAAATATACATCTTTAATCCCACTGAGAGCCCCTCTAAGGACTCCTGTCAGCTGCTATAGTCAAACTGAATTAGTCTCTTATTAATATTTTATTCGCTTTTAAGAAAGCTATTTGCTTTTAAGAATGGCAGTAGGTAATGTAACTACATTAAATAGCTTTGTCAATATTTTCTAAAAACACTTGCACTTAGAAGAAAATCTATTTTGTATCTAGAATTTCAAGTATGCTTTGTATGTGGTTCGAAGCGGTTTTTAGACATTACTAAACGTGAAATTGCGTTGGAGTGGCATCTTTCGTGTGCGATGAAGCGATAGTAACTCGCGAATTAAATTAATTCGTTAAGGAGTGAGCTCGAGTGATATAAATTTAGCTCGCGCATCTCTCTTATCTACCCTCTCCGTTACTATGGGAACCTCGTCCCCCGCCCCTCCGCCCTCCCCCATCAGCATTATCTTAGAAGGGCAAGAGATTATATAGATTTATATAGTAAAGATATCAGCTTCGTGACAGCAGTTTTTTTCTATTTGTTATATTTTAGAATATGCCAATTAGAATATTTACCAGAATATTTAGTATGTCAATGGCCTGGAGTTCATATCTGATTCTCACAGTTGATTTGTTGATTTGATAAAAACAAATGGCCGTAATTATGATGAATAACAGCAAGTGTGCACATAAGATAACTTTTTCCAACCCTTTAAATGCATCTTTTCTTCTCCCCAGGTCAAAATACTTCAGAGTGAGTTCTCTTGTTGTAGTATGGCAGCAGGTAAGGACCAGTTTTCAACAACTTCATCTTAAAATGTTGATGTTGGAATAGGGTCCATTCATATTTCTGTCTGATCTAAAAATTGTGCAGTAGTTCTTGGCATGCCTTGTTGAATGACATAAAACCTTGAAGTAATAGAAGATGTGTCAAAGCTCTTTGGGTTCTTTGAGCCCTTCTTGAGATGTGCTGCACTCATTTCAGCATTGAAATAGCCCGTACTGATAATTTATGAAATAGATTTTATAGTCTGCATGAAATGAAAATTGATTTTCTAAATGTACGTTATAGGTCTGAAATTTTTCTGTGAATATGCATTATTTTTTTTATTGTTTTGACTTTATTGTAATGCAGAGAGATAAATGGATGAAAAATGATTATCAGAATAAAAAAAAAAGATTTTTCTATCATTTTTGAGTATATGACTGGCAAACATACGTATACTACTCACAGGAACAAACCGAGAAACACCTTTGCCCCCAATAAAACATACCGATGTCTTCCGATCTCTCAGCGTTCCTAGATGGCAAGGATGCAAACTCTCTCCTCAAACGTTTTCCACGGGCTAATGGCTTCCTGGAGGAGTTCCGGCCGGGCAACATTGAGAGGGAGTGTGCCGAGGAGAGCTGCAGCTTTGAGGAGGCCAATGAAGTGTTTGAAAATAAGGAGCGAACGGTAAATCCTGTCTTCATCGGCCAAAGATGTAAACAAATTCTATTTCCCGTGTTTGTTTGTTTTTTGTTTGCGGATGCAATTTAATATTAAAGGGGTCGTGACATGACTTTTTTATTGTTTTAATATGTTCCTTGAGGTTTACTTACAATGTTAATGAAGTTTTTTTGCACAAATAAATATGTGGAAAAATAATTATTTTCAACCCTCATTCTGAACCTCTCTCTGAAACAACCTGTTTTTAAGGGGCGGGTCCTTTAAGGCATCTCAGTAATCGGCTACCGTTACGATTAGCTAACGTCATCGCATAGGAAACAGTATCAACGACCCCTTGCTATTGCAGGTGTGTTATGACAACATGATCAAAATAAAACGGTAATTTCCAGACAAAGCATAATGAAATAATTTACTTATGGTTTGTGATGCGGCTGTAGTCAGATATAGTACCGCTTCATCTTTCAACAAATGTTTGGTTGTGAACTCTCCATGACACTGTGCCTCGTTTACAAAACAAAATGTTCCGATCAATCCTCTGACACGAGGGTGCCAATAAAAATAAACTATCCACTTGTTTCTTACGCTGGGATCCTGCTGATGTACAAAGACGCGACCCAAACATGAGTGTTAAAGGGTTAGTTCACCCAAAAATGAAAATTCTGTCATTAATTACTCACCCTCATGTCATTTCAAGCCCGTAAGACCTTTGTTCATCTTCCACGGATGTCACATGGATTATTTTACAGATCTCCTTGCTACGTCTCTGGACTTGGGAACATTTCAGTTGCATTGCTGTCTATGCAGGGTCAGACAGCTCTCAGATTCCATCAAAAATATCTTAATTTGTGTTCCGAAGATGAACGAAGGTCTTACGGGCTTGAAACATGAGGGTGAGTAATTAATGACAGAATTTTCATTTTTGGGTGAACTATCCCTTTAAGTGTCAAGCCGTTAAGTGACTGATGGTGAGAAGATGAAAATTCATCAATGCTTTGTGTTTATGTGA